TACTTTTTTCATCTGTACTTAATTATTGACCATAAAAAAATTGGATATCGATCGTCCGAGAAAGCAAAATGGCGGTCAATCAAGATTCAATATACGACTAGCTACTGAAAACAATAAAATCTGCAAGTCCTCATTGCATGTCAACCAAGTGAAAGTCGTTAGCCACGACTTACAAAATGATCGTCCAGACTTTGAGGGTTTGGCAGATCCGGTCGACTGGCTGTTGTCACGCTTTCGCTTCTTGTCTGAGGTTTCGTATCGTAGCATTGTGAGGATAATGAGGTACATCGATGATGCAAGGTATTAATGTACAGTTGTAAACACCTTTCACTCAAATTAACAAGATGTTCTCAGTAATTAATCCTCGATTAATCAGTGTGAACTCAGTTTATTGCCTATTACAGTGATTGACCGATTGGACTATCATGTAGGTACGATGTATTTACAGCAATCAAAACAAACAAAGCTTGTCAGTGTAGTTAATCTTCATTGTATTCCAACTGCAGACAGAAACTGCTCAGTCCTAACTGTTGATCATGTCCGGTCAAAATTTAAGAATGTCCGGACAATACTTTTTAAAATGTCCGGTAAGCAATATTTTAAAACAGACATTTGAGATTCCCAATCGGACATGTCCGGCGCATATGACGGTTTCCGGACCCCTGGTTAAATTGATATACCTAATGATATAGAGGGGATAACTGACAAGATGTGTTCAACAACCAGGAAGGTAGTATATTTTGATTCTACAAGCTTCAATATCTACTACACCTAGTACTAAGCCCAAAGTGTGTACATGAAATGGTGGAAAGTCACGTGACTGCAGTAACCCACGAACAGCGGTGTTTGGACAAAATACTGTTTGCATCCTACATTAATGTATTATATATTGCCTAACAGAAAGTATATACAGGTTAGGTAACGAATATCATCATACATGCATACCTTGCGGGTAGCGCGAACATGAAATATGCAAATTACTCAATCTAACCATTTGCCAGTGTTTACAAATATAGTATTTTCAAATGTAGGTTACCTTATGTACATTATTACTTACCAGTATATTGCAGCCTTATTTCGACCATAAAATGTAATACAAACCTGAAAACAACAAAGGAATTTGGGTCAGTATCTTTGTATTCATAAGAACATGGCTGACAAAGCTGCATCAGCAAAGAGACAAATGATACACGCTTAAAGAATTTCTCTCGGCAAGATTTCCAGCAATGAGACACCAGTATTAGTTTGAATGTGGGATGGGGCCTTGAGCAAATGCATTTCCAACATAGCAAAAGTACCATACACAACACCAACAAGGTCATATAACCTTACTACTAACTAATAAATCTTAACTAAAAGTTATGTACAAATCATCAAGTCACACAAGTTCGATCGACATGTAACTTCGATAGTCCATTTTTAATGATAATTCTTGTGATATGTTATGAGAAATTACAGTACCTGCAGCTTTGATCTTCTGGCAACACTGCTTTCGTTCGCTTGGACCTGAAAATTCTTATTGTCAAGTTACCAAATGTAAGTTATAGCTCATATTTAGCAAACTACTACTTTTTAACCCGAGATCACTAATGTAACTAATTCACACGTTGTAAATTGACGGCACACCTATCGTCTGCTTGTTTACTGTCCTGCTGTAAATGTCACATGACCAGACATGTGATGTCCTTGCCAAAATTTAAACTATGGAAACAAGTAAGGGTCATTTCTTATTGAATACAGAATGCATTTTGAGAATGTCTGTCTCTGTAGTTTTGATGATCTATAAAATAAAGCTTTATTTTGACATGTTTTGATCAATGGTGAACCAACCAGAAGAGGCCAATATAGGCAATATTTGTCTGCAGCTGTAGACAAGGCATATTATGCTCATTTTGGTAGGAATTGCAATTAGGAAACCTACCACTACCTTTGCTGTTCCATTTGCTACACTTCATGACAGGATTAGTGGGATTCTATTGAATGCACTACCACTGGTAGAGAACCACTATTGTCCATAGAAGAAGAATAGGGACTTGTTTCACATATTGACGCCAAGGCAAACTTTGGGTATGGCTATACTAGGCCTGAGGTTACTAGTATTGCCACAGATCTAGCAATTCATCTTGGAAAGAAGTCAAAGGATGAACAACCCCTATCACTTCAGTGGTTCTATGGATTGATGAACGGCCTGATCTATCAGTGAGTAAGCCATGATCCCTTGAGATACAGAGAGCAAAAGCTAGCTCAGAGGAGACCGTCACTCATTATTTTAATGAGCTTAGACTCATCATGGATAAATACAACCTGAAGACATGCCCTCATTGACTTATCATAAAGTTGATGATAAGGGACCTTTGGAGAATCATACCCCACCATCAGTAGTCACGTCGAGTCAGAGTACTCCAGCTGCAGTGACAACATCAAGATTAAGTACTACAACTGTTATAGGTTGCGGCAATACATCTGGTTTTTCTATACCACCATATTTTGTATTCAAGGGCAAGAGGATGCGGGAAGAACTCCTTTCAGGAGGTACCCAAGCAGCAGCAGGCACTGTAAGCAACTCGGGCTGGTCAAACACAGAGATGTTTCAACACTATCTAACAGAGCATTTCCTGAAGCATGCTGTCTCCACATATGCATTTTGTCCACTTCCAATTGTGTAAGATGGCCATAGATCCCACATATCAATTCCACTGATCGAATGTGCACGTCAGCATCACATTATCTTGTTTGTAATGCCTACACCCATGTTTTTTAGGCAATGGATGTTGGTTGCTTTGGACCTTTTGCTAAAATTTACAACAACCTCCGTCATACATATTTGCAGGAAAATGCCACAAGTTCAGTTGATAAACATATGGTTTGTGAACTTGGCTGTAGAGCTTATAACCTGTCACTAATAGCAACAAATTTGCAATCCTCTTTTTCGGGAAATGTGGAGTCTACCCATTTGACAAGTCGACCACTGCTAACATCAACTTTGCGTCATCAACAGTTTTTAAGTCAACTGAACATCCTGATACTTGAGTTATAGGAAATAAGTGTGCCAGTTGGAGACAAGGATGTCACTTCACCTACTGAGGGCAATGATGTAGAAGGATTCTTTAAAGACAAGACAATTGTACTTTTCAAGAAAGCTGTGCCTTCTAAAAAGAGAAACATTCTGAGCGCTGTTGTCGGGGGCAAGGCCATCACCAAAGAAGTCATTCTGAATGAAATTTTTTCCCACCAGACTGTGAAATTGGCACCCCAAAGAGGAAAGCAAGCACCTAAACCATGTAAATATTTTTTAAAAACTACTGTCACTGCAAATGCAAGTACTTCTGAAACTTCAGGACGATAGTTTGGATTCGTTGGATAGTGATGGGACAAGTGATGACGAACTCTGCTGCAAATGTAACCAATTCGTACCTCATGAGGTTTGTGCTAATGTCTCACTGATCATTACAACCTGGGCACAATGTACCCACCCTACATGTCAGCACTGGACACATTTACGTTTCTGCACACCAGGTCATGTTGTGCTTCTGAATTTTAGTGCCCGTCACGATGAGCCTGAAGAATGACTTCCTGCATCAACCTTGTATATAAGCTGGATATTTGTGACTTTTCGTCATTATTTTTTTTCAATATTAAAACATAAAATGAACATTTCATGGACAAAGATATAAAACATCTGTGGACTGTTCTAATTTAGATTTTGACACAAGAGATTGTCCATACATATCATCTCAGTTATGCGAAAAGCCAGCCAATCAAATGATCAAACTTGTGTGATGTAGCTAGGGCTGGGACGAGTCCAAATTTACTAATCGGGTACCCATCCCCCTATTACTTGACCCTACCCGGGTTCCCGCTGTTGGTCTCAAGAGATAGGTACAGATTGTCCGATTGGGAATAGTTTGACTGTAGCCCTGGCAAAATGTATTTAAATACACATATAAACAATCTGGTCATGAGACACTGAAGTTGACTGAAATTTTATCTTTATTCAAACATATGAAATTCAGAAGGAATTTGTGCATAGTCAGAAAGAATATGTGAACATTAGTGACTTGTAGTGTGACCATAGAGTTCTAGAAAAGTTTTGCTATTAAACATTATATCATGTGATTAACCACGGGTCCGGGTCGTCCTGTGGGTACCTGGGTCCTACTCAGTACCTACCCGACCCGAGTACCCAAGTCAGCCGTCCCAGCCCTAGACATAGCTTTCTGGGTCACTTCTGTTGACAGTGAGTGGGCGGCCATGCCGCTAGTGTCAATTTAACTGGAAATACCTGGATTTTGGAAATGTTTGTCATAAATAAACATGTTTAGAGGTAAGATATTTGAAAAATAGATTATGTGAATATTACTATGAATATTCAGCGACTTTTTGTAAGTGATTGAACTTCAATGACACGAGGATATGTATAAAACACTTGAGCCTGCCACATTTGCATAAATCTGTTTTAGATTGTCCTTGGTGTCTCATGACTGCCATTATCATGATAATTAGCCTATCGGAATATTGGCTGGACTTTGCTATTGTCATGTGCTGATGGAAGCTGACAGTGACCATCCGGTCATATGTTATTATGTTTAATGTCTAATATCCATTCTCCCTATTATGTCTATGGGAGTCTCAGTCCGGGAGAGCTGCTGGTCTGTGTAAGGCATCCCCCTATACTAAGCCTGTTAGTTAATTGTTAGGGTAGCTGTGTGTCATATGTTTTGTCTGTCCATAACCTATGTGGGTTACTTGTATTGTATTGTTCTGTTGTTTGACGTATAATACATTGTCATCCCTGAGATCGATTTGTGATCTAATGGGTATTATCTCTTTCATGGAAAAATACCTAATTATGTACAACCTCACCCTTTAAACAGCAGATCACTGAATAAAAGTCAGCTTCTGTACCTGTGGTACTCTGTGAAATTGTCATCAATAATTGTCACATTATGTTATTTCATGTTTATTTCATGCAAATATTAGAACAGCCCTTTCTGTTACAGATGGAAGATGATGACTTCCTCACAGAAACAGAAAACAAAGTTGCTTTTGGCACATCGGGTGCACCTATGTCTCACTTCGGAGTCAGCCAGAAACCACCTGCAAGTACAGACTTCCTGAATTATGGCACTTCACCTGGTTTCAAACATGTTTAGACATCCCATTCACTGTCTGTGGGCAAAGTATGAGAGAGAGAGACAGAGACACAGACACAGAGAGAGAGACACAGACACACAGAGAGCAGTAACCTACATTCAATCAGTAGCATGAAAACAATAAGGGTCAAGGTCATACTACACGAATTAATTTTCCATTAAGGTAGCTACAGACATGGGACTTTCTGTTTAAAAGTTGTCATGCATTGACCACAAGGTTTCTTCAAACCAGAAGTATAAGATTAAACCAGAAGTGTTTGCTTTTCGGTACCTGGTGGCACAGGCCTAAGTTTGACATTGCATTTAACTGCATTTGACAACATAAGGGATCAAATATAAATACAGACAGTGAGGTCAGCTGTCATCTCATTGGGTAAAGTCAAATTTGTTCATGAGACATGTTTCTGGTGGGGAAGTTTCAGGTAAATCTGGAAATGGTGTGAATGGGGCTGCTTTTGTTTCTAGTTGCTCTAGAAATGTTGCTGGGTCAAATCACCAACAACATTTACATAACTGATGATATTGATGAATGTGGACTACACTGTGAAGTCACAGAAGAAGAAATACACAAAGCCAGTGGTCATTTAAGGAATGGAAAATCACCCAGTGTTGATGAGATTTTAATTGAAATACTGAGAGATCAAGAAAATGTCATCATGCCCTCCAGGAAATAACTTTTATTTTTACTGGGGTATATTCCCTGATGTATGGGCAGAGAGTAATTATTAGTCTACAACCTACATAAAAAGGGAAATCTCTTTTATGGTGTATATCTCTGTTATGATTCATGGGTAATGTATGTACAACTAGGTCTTTGAAAGGCATTTAGAAGTGATACACATAAGGAAGAGAAATATGTGGATGTCAACTTCTTTACTGTGAGGAACACAACATTTCGGAGTATATGCTTACTGCTTCATCGGGAGAATGAATGCCATGAGGCAGAGAGCATATATATGTACATGTAAGAATAACAAAAGATAACAAAAGGTGGAATATGTAATAAAGGGTAGAAACTAACAAGGGAAGCCAACAGATGATTGGTGCTGATAGGTGATTAGCAATGGACAATGGAAGCCAACATTTTACAGTAATTTGTGCTGATGGTATGGAAGCCAGTACTTAAGTTGTCATAGATAAGTAATAGGTAATGGACACAAAGGGCAAACAGGAGGCCGGGGGTAAAGGCGAAAGAATGGACATAGCAAGGGCAAATTGAAGCCAGCTAGATAATTAGCCCCGACAAATATCAACACAGATCCAAGCAATAAATCCCAAGCACTAGGTAGATGTTCCCTGGTCACGGTTCATGGCTGGCTGGTGTCTCCTGATGTCAATGGCTCCTTGTAGTTTTTTTTGCCGCCAGTTCTTGTTGTTGGTAGACAGGACTTTGGTGGCTTCCCACGTCATGTTAAGGTTTTGGTTCGGAAATAGCAGATTTCAGGTTGAGTTTGTTAACAGAGGTCCGATGTTCTTTGAGTCTGGTTTTGAGGGGTCTGAGGGTTTCTCCGATGTACGGGTGGCCACAGTTGCAGGGGATCTGGTAAATACATCTTCGGGGCTTGGGACTTGCGCTGCTTGTGCCTCTGCCATTTGCTTGCAGATGGGTCTTGATGGACTTGCCGCTAGAGAAGGTGACATCTATGTTGGCTTTGTTCTTGATGAGGCTTATGCTCTCTGCCTCATGGCATTCATTCACCTGACGTTGAGCTCCTCATAATAAAGAAGTTGACATCCATATATTCTCTTCCTTATATGTACAACTACATTACATAACAGATTGTCTATAATTCCTTCAAATACATTACCTCTCTTACATCAAAGCAATTATTTCTATGTAATGGCTGACCTCACTCTATAAAATATTTAGATTTTCAACAGACGTTCCTCTTTACTGCCAACTAATAAGCAATCATAACGAAGCTCCAATGTTCGTGCCAATATTCCATGCATATGCAATTGGGAAATTAATAACTTCTTTTCTCTGTGTGCTAAAGGAGACAGGGAAAAAGTTTCCCGGCAATTTTTCCTGCCCCGAAATCAGTTAATTTTCGCATTATGTTTTCACAGTTATATTATTATAATCTATTACTTATTTGAATTAGTTATTCTACTTTCTGAAGGATTTATGTCAGTAGAGTGTTTGTGATCATGTTGGGAATAAATTACCCACAGCTTTGCCCAGAATGTGGCTTGATCCCATTCTTTTGGGGTCTCATCTATCGTGTTACAAATACAGAGAAGTATTGTGTACAGTGGATTCTAGATGTGATCAATGTAATTCACTACTGATGTTCAATTCCAAGGATTAATATTAGCATGGAATTCATCTTCACGAGTGTTCATTTTAAAAGACGAGATCTAAGAGATAATCATCATCTTATAAGGATAAGACATCTATGGTGTTGATTGCGCTCAGGAGCAATCTCTTACAACATCAAGAAGGTGCAAGATGGTGATAGCCCCAGGCGTACATAGTACTACATACCCCTCTGTTCACTTGCCCTTGGATAAGGAGAAGGTTAGGATGATGCCATGGAGGGAGCAAGACACATGGACTCACTGGATCAGTGGATGAAGGTCAGAGTTGCGGAAGGGCAAGCTTCCGGCCAGGTGAACCTGTGCAATCAGCAATCACGGAATCAGGTAATCAACAACCATCTTATATGAAGAAAGATATTTTGGCATTACAACTTACCAAGGATAAATATGTTAAAAGGGGCATAGCCACTAGCCTCCCTGTCTCAGAGATTAACGAGGGTGTTGCTTAGTCTACAGAGATTTATAAATCTTCTCCTTTAAGGGCGTTTACCAAGCCGGAATCAGATATGGATTATAGAGCATGTGCTGCTGAAGTGACTTCTTCCTACCGTCATGGAGTTATCTGAGGGTTCAGATTGGATAGCTTGAGAGATGGTGTTTGATCACATGCTGCTCAAGCCACTAAGAGGAAGCCATCCACCACCTTTTCTCATCCAGGTACCATCCTGTTATTCAGAGCATGGCTCATGAAACTCTACCTAAACCTAGCACTAGTGACAGGTCACTGCGACGTAACAGACCGCTCTCACAACTCCTCCCCCCTCCCCCCAGAAGTGTTTCATGGTTCAGAGGATTCTTCTTCATTCTGTGCAGGGAGTGATAAGGATCAGCAGGATTTTTTAAACTGGGTTTATCTTATGCTGAGGGGCGGTCGGGTAGCCTAGTGGTTAAAGCGTTCGCTTGTCACGCCGAAGACCCGGGTTCGATTCCCGACATGGGTACAATGTGTGAAGCCCATTTCTGGTGTCCCCCGCCGTGATATTGCTGGAATATTGCTAAAAGCGGCGTAAAACCTTACTCACTCACTCACTATCTTATGCTGAGATAATTGAAGAACAGTTGAACATCATACCTTCTTGTCGACCCCTAGTAAAAGCGGATCCTGTCCAACAATGGACTGAACATGCAGTGTCGGCGGAATGACCACTTCAACCTGAGGCTTTCCACACTCTGCCCTTGCAATCTTTTACAGACAAGATACTACAGCAGACCGAGGCCATATTAACCAGAGCAAGGGATGATAAACTACCAAAGTGTTTACAAAACTCATGAAGCTCCAATCAATCAGAGGGGCGATCGTGTAGGCTAGTGGTTAAAGCGTTTGCTCGTCACGCGGTACAATGTGTGAAGCCCATTTCTGGTGTCCCCCGCTGTGATATTGCTGGAATATTGCTAAAAGCGGCATAAAACCATACTCACTCACTCACTCCAATCAATCAGAAATGTTTTCACCAAGATGCATGTTTCGATGTCCAGATTTAAAGATATGGATCTTGTGAACATAATTATCATAGCAACTTACATAAATTGGTTTGTTATTTGATACTACCTATCTACAGCAACTGCATGGGTATGCCAGCAGAGGTGAGGTTGGACCAAGTTGGTTTTGCTACATAATGTTGCAATATCAAGTAATGACTGCTCCCTATCATATCACTGTGCAGTACAATAACTGATCCCCGTACATCTGGGCTTTTTACATCATGGCCTCCGAGAGTAAACGTGTGAAGTCAGACGTGCTTCGTGTTGTCTCTGTAATTAGTGTTTGGATAACACGGGATATTGAAACCTGGTAGCAGCGGTGTGGAATTAACTTGATGTTGATGTTTATCGCTAGAATTGACACTGTCAGTAGTGCTGGGTGCCTACACGGATTGAACTGTTCACCAAGCGAGTGAGTATTTCTCGTACCTCGGCAGAATCGCACGTGCTTTGCGACTACAGGATTTTGATTATTCTGGATTAATTGTGCATTTTGGTGAATTAATGAACATTTCACACGATTTTCACATTTGATTTCCTAACTCATGAACATTATAGATGGTCAGGAAGAACATGAACCGGGCAGACATGACGACCACGTTGGCGCGCAGATACCGCATGGTAGGAGAATGCCGTTGCCGGATTTGACACCTCCACTGCCGCTGAAAATGTTGGGTGATTTGGCAGATAATTGGAGAATGTGGAAACAGGAGTGGCAGAACTTTGTGATTGTTTCACAACTAGATGATAACCCAATGAATTATCAAGCTGCTGCTTTATTGCATTCTATAGGAACTGATGCACTAGAAGTCTACAATGCAATGGAATTCTTGCTGGAAGAGCACAGGGATGTGACTACTATTATGGCCAAGTTTGATTCATACACAATTGGAGAAACTAATGAGACGTATTAACGATACATTTGGAGAAACATGAGAAACATGCTCAAACATGGAGGTCAACACAGCTTGGGCGCCAATTTTTTATTTCTTGGTTTACGGATGCGCCGCTCTTTCAAAGTCTGAATGTTAAAAATAATAAAAATGAAAATTTACCCTTTTTCTTATTACCACCGATCATTTCATCAAAAAGTTCAAACAAAAAAAGATTTCATTTCCTCGTCGAGCGTAAAGCAAAGGGAAGTCACTCTGATATTTCTTGCTGGGATGATTCTCTAATACCATCAAAGCTTGACAACGCAAAGCGCAGTGGCGACCAGTTTAACTCTTTCAACACTGTTGGACGGTCAAGAAGCCATGAGTCACACCGCAGGGTAGACCGACCAAGTCACATCAAAATAGTGTACAGTTTTATTAACCTACTTGTCATATCATTCATTTATTAAATCTATCACATTTCACAATGTCTGAAATATGTATTCCATTTGATTTTATCACTTTTATCTATAGATTAAAAAATTATTCACTAGATCTAGACACTTTCCCGCAATGTTATTGAAATTAAAATTCTCGGACACACTTCGACAACGGGTCCTCATCGAACATGTCAAACAGCAAAATAAAGAGGTTTCAAGCAAATCTTTGAATATATTATACAAAGTAATATAGTCGACAAAATATATCTAAAATTTGCCAAACTGACATCAAAGTTATTATTTCAAAGTCAAATGACATCTCGGGTTTCGTTGCCTCAATTTCTCGGCTCGGACACAATGTGTGTAATGCCAAAATATATGCATAAGAAATCTTTGTCACAGCTCGTAACCTAGCTCTATGCATCCATAAAGTTCCATATTTTTAATATAGATCGCGATTTCCTGCTTTAAACGTTCAGAATAACATGATTTAACACAATCACATTAAAATCAGACATTATATTAGTTCTCGCTACCGCTAAACAAAGATCTGAGGACATCCCATTAGGGGTCACGTCCGAATGACCTTTCATCTGACCAATCAGAGCGTCGCTTACCAGATCATGAAAGTGACTGTCGGAATGAGATTTCTAATCATGCAATCTCGAAAACTTTAACACAGGGTATTCCCAACGATAGTCTGGGGTGACCCATAATTGGATGTCCTCAGATCTTTGTTTAGCAATAGCGAGAACTATGGTCTGATTTTAATGAGATTGGATTTAACCCAA